AATATTAAAATATAAATATTTATCTAACATTTATGTTTTAAAATTTGAATAATTAATTCTTAATCATCAATTTTAAACTAATTATAAATTTAAAGTCATATAAAAATATAAAAAAATAAAGTGAAAGTGATAAAAATTAAATAATGTCTATTTCAGTCATTTTAATATTAAAAGATCTTTTATAAAAAAAAGATACCAAACAACTTTTCATTCTGTAAGTACTTTTATAAAAAATTTTATCAAACACTTCTAACTTCTTAAAAACAGCACTTCTACAACAAATTCTCTTTAACAGAACTTCTATTAAAAGTTCCAGTCACACCAAACAGGCTTTAAGAGCATGTTTGAGTTAGTTTGTAAGATTTTTTATTTTTTTTATTGTTCATAAGTGATAAATTTAAATGTTTATTGAGAAAAAAATTTAAAAATTACTTTTAGAAATAAGAAAAAATTAGTAAAAAGTGAGTAAAAATGAAGTTTATGAAAAATAAAAGTTTGAAACTTTTGAATTTTAATTGTTTAAGATGTTTTTAAAGTTTAAAAAGTTTAAAAATATAAATTTTTAAGAGAAAAATTTAAATTTATGAAATATAAATAATATCAAAAAATTGAAACACTTAGAAATTAAACCAAACATGCTCTAAATTAGAAATGTTTATAATCTAGAATCCTGAATAACTGGTACAGGACAATGGCTGCCAATGTTTTGATATAATACAGAATTTTGGACCAAATCGTATAATTTGATTGAGTGTATCATATAATTTCCCCTTTTTTAATGCAATGGAACGTGTAACTTGGGGTTGCTTTTGAAAATTTTGTGCATGAAGATGATTAGGTTATGTTAGTTAGGACCGTTCGGTTGGGTCTTCCTTGCTTACGGTAAGAAGTCTTACCTTGATTACACGTGCTTGGAGGCATCAGCCATGTACCAAGTCAGAGGCGGCTGAATAGTTTGTAAATGTTTAAGATTTCATATTAAAAAAATATAAAAATTTAAAAGAATTTATAAAATCTTATTTTTTATTAACAAATAATTAAATGAAATGAAATCCAAGGTAAATTGTGCTTTATCCTTTTGCATATAATCAAAAGATGGGCACTTGGACTTGAGGCATCTTGGGGCTTGATTGCTAGAACATCATTAATTGACAGTCAAAAGGTACCTCTATAAAATGGTATCTTTTTAGTAAAATACATCCCTACAAATGGTGACTATACATGCATTATAAGTTTCTATGCATAGTTAGAGTTCTACATTTAATTCTGAGAGAGTTTTGTATTTTGTTGTATCTTGAAGGATTTTAAATTAAAAAAAAAATGAGATCATACCTCATAACAATTCTTTTATTCTTATGCTATTTCATATTTTCTAATAGAGACCACAAAGGTCTCATTACCAATCTCCTTGAAAACCAGACCGATTACTATGTTGATGGTATTGCTACCCTCTCTGTTATTAATATTATATTTTTTAAATTTTAATTAATTATTATATTTTTTAATTTACTAAGGACAAAAAATATAATTTTTTTATAAAAATCTAATGTAAAATATCATAAACAATTATATTAAAAAATGACATAAATAATTTAAGATGTGACAATAACTTTATCAAATAAAAACAAAAATGCAAAAATTCAAAAATGCAAAAATGCAAAAAAAGAAGAAGAAGAAGAAGAAGAAGAAGAAGAAGAAGAGGAAGAAGAAGAAGAGAAGAAGAAAAAGGGGATGGAGGTGTGGTTGAGGGGAAGAAGTCAGGAAAACAGGCTTACAGCCCATTAAAATGTGATACCTACAATAGGCCTAAGCCCATCTACATGGGTCAAATAGCATGCACCAAGCTCCTCCCCAGTAAAACGTTTGAGTTGCAGTTGTTTTTATAGATAATTTATATTTTTATTTATATTATTATTGGATTACTCAAAAAAAAGAAGAAGAAGTAAAGATAAAGATATTTTTGTACAACAGGGTAAATAATTAAAGTCAATAAATAATGGTACGGTTCAAGTAAGAAAAGAAGTATTTATTTTTTAAAAATATAAAAATAACAGTTAATATAAAAGAAATTTTGTGTAAAAAATGATTATTATTATATGGGTAAAGATAGAGATGATAAAAATTTGAGACAAAAATTTAAAATAAAAAATT